TAGGTTTTTTTAAACAGATCTAGTTCTTTACCAGGTGTGCCTTTAAGTAATTTCTATTGCATTTATACTTTAGGAGGATTAGGAAAGAGAGTAAAAGAACTCTTTGTCCGTTAGATTCATTAAATGTATTCATGCGTGTGTAAGTGGTGCAGAGGCTGTGCTACTCGGGAATCAGATCCTTGTCCTAGGGTGTAGAGAAAGGTGAAGGGTGTGATATTTACTGCTTGTGTAAGTGTCATAATAATTGTGTATTCAATTCTTTGCTTTTAAATGACCTTCCTGGGCATTAAGCCATTTTTTTTTATTTATCTTTTCCCTGCAGAGTTAGGGAGGGTAAGGAACCACACCTTTGAAATGGTACAGCTGTTCAGGATGTGAATGTGTTATAGAACAGATAGGTCAGCAAAAGTGAAGATAGAAATAATACAAAAATTATTGCAGAAGGAAAAAGACTTTGCTACAAAAATGTATTAAAATGTTGTTTAAGCTACTACTGATTTTTATTATTGGGTCATTAAGAAACCCAAGGAATTTATTCAGAATAAAGTGTTTAAGTAGCTACTATGTTCTTACAGGAGAATTACAAGAGTTAACGTTACTATCTTTTGGTTTTGCGCACCTTAAATCCCTCAAACTTCAAAGTGCTGCAGAAGTACTTCAAACCAACTAGCTAGTGCTTACTTGAAATAATTACCACAGAACTAATTTAAACAAATACCTGTTAAAATAATAAATTTCCTGTGCACCAAACCAACATCAGTTACATAGCGCAGTGTCGGCTCCAGTGCACCGAAGCGTATGGTCCTGTAAAAGTGTATCCATAGCAGCAAGAGAAGTAGTCTCTTACCAACTCAAACCTGTTTCAGTGAAAGTGAAAAATATCACAGCTCAATGGCAAGACCTCACACTGACAGAAATAAGGTCCTGTTACCGCCCTCTGGTCGTGTCGGTAGAGAGCCTTCCCTGAAGAGAGGCGAGTGTTGAAGTTTGCATAGAAGGTAATTTGCCTGTGGATGAAAACTCCCAGGGCAGCGTCTGCTTTGGCTTTGGGACAGCCCTGGGTGCGCGTGCGTATTATTCGACAGAATTCTGTGCTGTGAGCTTGAATATTAGTAATTTTGCTGTCTCTTCAGTTATACTCTCTTAGTATCTGAACATTCTGTCCTTCCTCTGCCACCCTCCTCGCTATGTACATTTGGAACAGCTTAGAGCCCCTTTTTAAGGGGCTTTAGTTTACATTTCATGATAAAATACTCACCTTAGCAAAACTGCAAAATATATTTTAAAAATACATTCACCTCATCGGCTGGTGTCACCATGCGACATATGAGTGGACTCTTAGAATGCGTGCATGTGACTGGGAGAAAGTCAGATATTGTAGGACTTGAAAAGAGAGAGAAACACTACGCTTTTAGCATTTGTTTAGGCCTTTAACAAATGCCGAATGCTTAATTTGGTGAATTTTGCAACCTTAATTAAGGAAGCGTTGATTTCACCACATGGGTACCTATGTAATCGCGTTGGGTTCAACAGGATCAAATCGGATACAGTATATAAACACATGCTTAAATCATTTCTTGGGTAATTGCCAACAACACGCACAAAAATCTTTACATAATAAAGGTGTATGGGTTTGGGGCAATACAAGTTACGTAATGTGCAGGGCTGTTGGGAAAAGAGCGCCGTGCAATGCCGTCGGAGCAGAGGATTGCCAGCACTGAAGTGGACTCCAGAATTTATCCCAATGGTAATGAACCAAGGGACACAGATTTAAATATGAAGGTATTATAATACTTTGCATTATGAAATAATTCAGGTACATTTATTTAAGTGAATAAAATACATTAAACCACTACATTGGACACACCTTCGCAGGCCACAGCTCTTCCAGGGTCCTTGGGTCTCTGTTATATATCATTCTTTGGTTTCTAATTCTGTTTTAAAATGCCGGAAGTTACAAAGCATCTTAGGTCTCATATTTCATATATTTACAAGAGAAACCATTTCTTTTGGTAGGAGATGTGTTCACTAATAAGGCTTCTATTCTTCGTAGTAAACAACATATTTACAAACCACAAATAACAAAGTAGAAGCTGCAGAAGGGTTATGGTGTGATAATTAAGTACAATGGCGACCCATATGAACAGAAAATGCCAAGGAGCTAAAACAAAGCAACAACAGCTTTGTTTGTTGACAGATGTAGGAGCCATATTGTTAGTTAATTGGGTAATGGTGTAAACATTTGCAAACTCTGCTGTCCCTCAGTGAATTAAGCAGCACACTGAAATTATGGTGAAAAGCTGCACAGTCCTTTTGCAGCAGGTACTCCACAATGCTTTTAGCTAACCTAAGCACGAAGACCTTGAGGAAGGGACCTCATGCCTTGTTATTATTTAAGGTACTTGAAGTTTGCGACTCTCGGAGTTTAGACTAGACTATATATCTTGAATTACACTCCAGTAAATAATAGGTTTCCATATTGTTACCGTCTGGAAGGTTGTGTTCATTGCCTAGGCTTGCTTTTCAGATTTATTTTTTTTCCCAAATGTAGAGGAGACTTGTTCTGTCTTTCTGAGCTTTTCTTGCAAACAGAGGTTGCAGGACTTGAAAACAGAGAGGCCTAATTAGATACTGGCTAGAGCTACAAAGAAGGAAAATTGCTTCTCAGGTGCACAGTACCTCATGTGCTGTGAATTGCAGAGACCCCGACTTACCTCACTTTTTGTGCCTCTGTGCCATAGTGGACTGTAGCAGAATACCAAAACATTTAAAAATGCAACAAGATACTTAATTAGCATACTTCTGTAATCACAAACTTAAATGCACTACTTTGGCTGTTTTTTACATAACAGGTTTGCTTTCTAAGATAATAACCTTTCAATAATTTAAGCAGCATTTGTGCAGGAA